AAGGGATTATGTCATGTTCACACAAGGACTATGTCACGATCACACAAGGACTATGTCACTGTCACACAAGGACTATGTCACGGTCACACCAGGACTATATCACGTTCACACAATGACTATGTCACTGTCACACAAAGACTATGTCAATGTCACACGAGGACTATGTCACGGTCACACCAGGACTATATCACGGTCACACAAGGACTGTGTCACGGTCACACAAGGACTATGTCATGGTCACACAAGGAATATGTGATGGTCACACAAGGACTATATCACAGTCACACAAGGACTATGTCACTGTCACACAAGGACTATGTCACTGTCACACAAGGACTATGTCACGGTCACACAAGGACTATGTGATGGTCACACAAGGACTATGTGATGGTCACACAAGGACTATGTGATGGTCACACATGGACTATATCATGGTCACACAAGGACTATGTCACTGTCACACAGGGACTATGTCATGGTCACACAAGGACTGTGTCACGGTCCCACAAGGACTATGTCACGGTCCCACAAAGACTATGTCATGGTCACACAAGGACTATGTCATGGTCACACAAGGACTATATCATGGTCACACAATGACTATGCCACTATCACAAAAGGACTAAGTCACGGTCACACAAGGACTATGTGATTGTCACACCAGGACTATATGTCATGATCACATATGGACTATGTCATGGTCACACGAGGACTATGTCACTGTCACACCGGGACTATGTCACAGGCACAAAAGGATATTGTCACTGTCACACAAGGACTATGTCATGGTCACACAAGGACTATATCATGGTCACACAAGGACTATGTCACGGTCACACAAGGACTATGTCATGGTCACACAAGGACTATGTCACTGTCAAACAAGGACTATGTCACGGTCACACCACGACTATATCACGGTCACACAAGGACTATGTCACTGTCACACAAAGACTATGTCATGGTCACACAAGGACTATGTCACGGTCACATAAGGACTATGTCATGGTCACACAAGGACTATGTCACGGTCACACAAGGACTATATCATGGTCACACAAGGACTATGTCACTGTCACACAAGGACTATGTCACAATCACACCATGACTATATCACGGTCACGCAAGGACTATGTCACTGTCACACAAAGACTATGTCAATGTCACTCAAGGACTATGTCACGGTCACACCAGGACTATATCACGGTCACACAAGGACTGTGTCACGGTCACACAAGGACTATGTCATGGTCACACAAGGAATATGTGATGGACACACAAAGACTATATAACAGTCACACAAGGACTATGTCACTGTCACACAAGGACTGTGTCATGGTCACACAAGGACTATGTCATGGTCACACAAGGAATATGTGATGGTCACACAAAGACTATATCACAGTCACACAAGGACTATGTTACTGTCACACAAGGACTATGTCATGGTCACACAAGGACTATGTCATGGTCACATAAGGACTATGTCACGGTCACACAAGGACTATATCGCGGTCACACGAGGACTATGTAACTGTCACACCGGGACTATGTCACGGTCACAAAAGGACTATGTCATGGTCACACAAGGACTATGTCACGATCACACAAGGACTATATCTCGGTCACAAAAGGCCTATATCACGGTCACACAAGGACTATGTCACGGTCACAATAAGGACTATATCACGGTAACACAAGGTCTATGTCATGGTCACACAAGGACTATGTCATGGTCACACCAGGAATATATGTCATGATCACATAAGGACTATGTCATGGTCACACAATGACTATGTCACGGTCACACAAGGACTATGTCACGGTCACACAAGGACTATGTCATGGTCACAAAAGGACTATGTCACGGTCACACAAGGACTATGTCATTGTCACACCAGGACTATATGTCATGATCACATAAGGACTATGTCATGGTCACATGAGGACTATGTCACTGTCACACCGGGACTATGTCACAGTCACAAAAGGATATTGTCACGGTCACACAAGGACTATGTCACGGTCAAACCAGGACTATGTCACTGTCACACAAGGACTATGTCATGGTCACACAAGTACAGTGTCACGGTCCCACAAGTACTATGCCACGGTCCCACAAGGACTATGTCATGGTCACACAAGGACTATGTCATGGTCCCACAAGGACTATATCATGGTCACAACAAGGACTATGTCACTATCACACAAGGATTATGTCATGGTCACACAAGGACTGTGTCACGGTCCCACAAGGACTATGTCGCGGTCCCACAAGGA